AATTATATTTTTTTTTTTTTTTTTAATTGTATCTGATGTGTATTTATAAAATGCTAAAATAATGTACAAAATCACTGGGGACTCAGTCTATGACTGATAATTTATAATAAAAGGGATAAATCAGAATAAAAACAAGTAAGAATGAACTAAAAAATTAAATATTATTAATATTATTCATGTATTATATACTATAAGTACAGCTACATGTGATATTGCATGCTATTTATATCATAAATATTATATTTATAACAATATTATTATATAAATAATGCCGCGCCTGCACAGCTAGGTTTTTTAGTTGATAATTGATCTAGTTACCTGTTTTTATTCTGCAGATTTATCCCTTTTATTATTATAAATCAGCCTTATTATTAGACCATGAGTCCCCACTAGCTAGTGATTTTGTACATTATAACATTAATTATATATAAATATTTAGCATTTTAATTCTCATGGCCAATAATATTGTTAATATATTATAAAATATTGCCGGAACAATTTATATAATGTAAATTAATATATATTATATAATTTGTGAAAATGAATTATATTCGATCACGTATAAGTACCAAGATATTATTGCAGTTCAATATCATATGTGGTACAATATTGTTAATAATTATGAAATTAAACGCTCATGCGCCAGCTTATAGCTAGCTCATGCTACTAGCGCCTATATTATTATATTAAAGGCCATGTTTAATGTTATAATAGTTGTAACATCATGCTGACGACGTAAATTTATGTAATTGATCACCTGTTATATACGCTATTCCTACTTTTAATCTTCATGATGAGAGTTTAATTTAATGGTAATTTGTTTAGTTGACTCTACTGATCCGTCTGAACCACTAGCTCGCTTAATAGAAGTCTTATAATTATCAAGTCGCAGTTCATGAATTAGTAGTTATATTATCATTTTTAGGTATTGATTATTAAATACTCAAACCTCAGATGGTTTATTAATGAAAAATACTTTTGGTTTAAACGTTGCAAACGCTTCACTATTTGTTGGATCGTTATTTTTGAGACTGAAAATCATCAAAGAAGTGTCCATGAATTTTGATGAATTGATAGTAGTTGCCTCAATAACCTCCTCAAGAATGTCACTAAGCTCTTGCCTCTCCATCATTTGACCCCATGAAGGCATGAATCTCGTCGTTTCAGCATGTTTCGCTTCACAAAGCTCTGCACAATCCCATTGAGCTTGATTAAAGTCAAGCATATTCCACTGATCGAGCTCTAACCGTCTAGGGATATGTGTTCTATCCATCAATTCATAAAAGTCATTAAACATTCCCTTCACAAACAACTGCAGTTCAGGTTTTGACCTTGATTTGATTACTTCAAATCTCTTCCCATTAAGGTATGTCTTATAGATTAAATCGTACATACGCTCCTGTCTTTGTCTGTGCCAGTCACGAGAATCAGATTTTACTATTTCAGAATCAGAAGTTTCACCAAAGTCTCCATCATTACTTTCTTCTGGAATCTCAACGATCATTTCTTCAGGCTCATCAGAGGGATTAGAAGAAACAACACGATTTTCTGCTTCATAGCGATCCACATTCTCCATAAACTCTGAATATGAATCTTTGAGTTGATTTCTTTTATCTTGAATGATTTTATCATTTACTTGTTGGTCTGAGCTGAAGGCAAACTGATATTTTTTATTCAAACTCAAAGAGGCCATAAAATTTGAAAAGGCCTTGAAAGGAGGAGCCTTTATTGACAAAAGTGAATTATCATGAACATATTCACTCAAAAGAGAGCCAACCAATGATCTTTCACTTAATCTGCATGTTTGAAACTCATCCAAAAACAAAAGATCCACTGAAAAGGACTTAATGAACTTCTTCATTATAGAATTTTCATTATTCAGAACTCTAGAAAAAAGTAATTCAAAAGAATTTGAGCGTGAGACGTAATCCATAAAATATATTTTATGTTTCAAATAAATGTCTTGAGTATCAATATATGACGTAAAAGGGAGCCCAAGTTCATAGTCCGTAGTTTGCGATTGATTAAAATGATTCAACACCATTTTTTGTAGGCCTCTGGCCCGTATTTTGTAAGTAAATTGCTCCCTATCATCATTAAGTGCCCGATCAAAAGCATCAGATTTGTAAAGCAAATTCCAGTATTCTTCAAAAGAATCAAACCTTTTTCCAAATTGAGCTGATAAAATAGGGAATGTAACATGAATTCTTGTTGGTAAGATTTTTGGAGCTAACAACTCCAAAAATCGTCTATTGAGGGAAAGGACTGTTGTAAAGTCACTGGGATCCATATCAACAATTTCATCGAGATTTGAATCAACTTCATAGTCATGGAGGTCGCAATCGATAGCTGTGAAGCTCATGAAAAAAAAGATCTGAACAAGCACCTCTTCCGGTAGTACAGTCATAGTTTGAGTGTTCCGTGGAGTCCATTATGCATCTTGGAAAAGAATCTGAAGACGATTGGCCCATTTATATACATATTGGCTCAATTTTTAGAATAGAGAGCAGTTTTATCTAAACAGAAAAATCTCGGGTCTATGAGTTTTTATGAAAACACACAGTTTGAGTTCGCGAAATTCTGGAGATGATTACGTGAGTTTGTAAAAAAAAAAAAAAATTCAACTAATCTCAAATCAAATTAATACAACAAAGAACATTTATTATAGAGCTTGATTTCTAAACCTTATGATCGGTAATTATTTGTTTCAATGTCACTTATAATATTAATATACTTGAAGCTTTCTAGGTAACTTTTTATTGTAGATTTTTGGCTAGTGAGTGCCTAACATATCTAATTCGCTGTTCCCAGATAGAATTTAGTTCTACCAACAATAGTTCGTAAGAAACCAGGTATCAGTATCCATAACCTTTCTCCTTCTTCTTTTTAGAAGTTATAGCTCTGAAAACCAGATATTCTTTGATGGACTTCACTTTGTACCTGTAAGGATTGGCCTCTGAGACACAAGTGGGTATAGGATCCATCATCATGGATTGATTGAATCCAAAGAAGAAAGGAATTGAATAACGTTTATCACCAGAGTTATTAACGACACGATGCACAGTGGACACAAAAGTGTTGTTTGTCATTCTCATTAAGCAATCTGCTATATTGACAACTAGACATCCAGAAATTGGAGGAGCTTGGATCCATTTCCCACTTTTATTCAAGACTTGTAAGCCAGAAACATCTCCTGTATTCACCATGGTGAATATTCAAAGTCAGTATGAGCTCCAATACCATTTTGATCATCTTCACTGTGTTCTTGCACAGGATAATGAAGTATCCTCATACTAGCAGCAGGATATGTGACGTATTTATCGAAATAATCTTCCTCAAGTCCCAATGACAAAGCAAGGATTCTTATCAATTTTCTAGCAATCTTCAAGCATTCTGCGTGATACTTGAACATGTTTTCTTTGAACCCTGGAAAATTTTCAGGCCATATATTCTCAAATGCAACACAATCATCAGATGGAGGTGGCTGAGCTGGGTCTTGTTCACGCTCATAAGTAAAATTAAATGCCTCCATTAAATCTGGCTGTCTTCTATTTCCAGCATCGAATGTAAATTTACCAAATGGATGGTACCCTTGATAGTTTTCATCCTCTAGTAAACCAGTAAATACCTTCATTTTTTCATCTGTAGTTTGTTCATGAAAGAATTTTTTACTCCAGTTGAAGGTGTTATCAACAATATCTTCAGGAATACCATGGTTCTTTGCATAAAAGAATCCAACATTGGAACAAGCATCAAATAATTCTTTGGATAAAGCAAGCCTGTCATCATAATTATCCGAATACATCTTCTCCAAATCAATGATTGGGATTGAATCAAAATCACCCCTAGACGATTTACTTGAATCTAATTTAATAATGGTACCATTGTCCAGCTTCAAAACAGTGGGATCTGGTGTGATTATTGATGAGTTTGTCACTGACGCAGTCATTGTTGATTGATGAAGGGTAATTTATGTGAAAATACCATGGAGAGCAGTAACTTTTTATACAATTTGAATCAGCTGAAACCAGACAATTACGAACGATTATGATCAATCAGCAAAACATTTGTTCCCTGGATTACGATCTACCCCCATTTGAAGAAACTGATCTTATCTTGATCTGATAACACTTGCAAGCGCAAAAGCTTAAACATTGCGGGCATTGACCAAAAAAGAAGCTGATACGAAATGAAACAAGTCATCCAAGTCCAGCAGTACAATTGACTTCTGCCTTAAACTGCTAACAGTCCTCCTTTCCCAACTCAATGAAGTTTTCACGTCTTCTCATTTCCAGTACAAAAAAGATTTTTCAAATCATTGATTTTTATCTCCGAAGTATTTCCGAATTACGGTCAAAGAGGTCGGAACTCTTTTTTTATTTTAATTTTTTTTTCATATGTGTAGAAGAGATGAGATTGTTATTTAGTAGAATTCTGGAGTTTTGATTCACTCGATAGAGACTTTAAGCACCAGTTGTCAATATGTCGTCAAGTGGATACTCATCAGATGAAGAAGAACCAGAAATCCCAAAGACCTCAGGGGTTTATCTAGGATTTATTGACGATGATTTTGAAAATGCTGGTGAAGAGCCAACTATAGAAGACTCATTCGTTGGAGGTCAACCGGTTTGGTTACACCCAAATTCCAAACCGTCAGATGATATGCTGTCTTGTAAGAACTGTGCTGGTCCTCTTTCACTGATTCTACAAGCTTTCTCTCCCCTAGAAGGTGCTTTGTATGATAGAGTCATTTATGTTTTAGCATGTAAGAAACCATCATGTTCAAGAAAGAATGGGTCAGTTAGAGTTATAAGAGGTATTTCTAAGGATCCTAAAAAGATTGCTGAGATAGAGAAAGAACAACAAACAGAATTGAAAAATCAACTGGATGAGAAATTGAAGCTAGATGAAGCAAGGAATATTAATCTTTTTGAGGGAGATGCTTCTGCAAATCCGTTTGGTGGCTCAGGCAATCCATTTGGAGGATCAGGAAATCCGTTTGATTATAATCCATTTGAATCACAAAATAAAGAAGAAAAACCGAAGAAAGTTGAAGATACTAAACCAAACTTTGCATCAGTTGCAGCAAAAGCTGCACCTCCAAAACAGACAAAACAAAAATCTTCAAACATCAAGAAGTTACCAGAATGGCCTGGTTATTTCATTTTTGTTGATCAAGAAAAGTTCAAAAAAAAGAACCTGCCAAAATTACCAGAACATTTAAAAATCAGTGAGTCTGCACTAGACACAGAAGCTGAAGTCTCATCATCATCCACTACAAAAGATTTGAGCCCAGAAGCTCAGCACCTCTCCAACAACTTGCAAGACAGCGTATTTCAACATTTCAGTGATATTGTATCATATAACCCATTACAAGTATTACGTTATGAGCTTGGTGGGAAACCTCTTTTGTTCTCTTCAAAAGATGACGTTGCTGCGAAAGTTGCAAAAAACCTTGTTCCAAACCCAGGATTTAATCCTTCAAGCTCGAGACACTTTGAATTACAAATAATGCCAAAAGTGATAATGGATTTTGAAAGAGATGATATAGATATTGTTAATGGTATCAATTGGGGCACTATTTTTGTTTACACAGATGTTGAAGATTATATACCTGAACTTGATGAGAACTATGTTGGTTATGTGGAGGAATGGGCAGGTGTTCAATGGGAAGAGGAGGTTCAAAGAAGATAATAATATAAATTTTTTTACAGATTCTCTTTTTGTTTCTGATTTGCTTCATCATTAGAACAAAATATGTACAGATTATTTTACACTATCTATAGTTCATTTCATAAATATCTTGGGACTTCTTTTTCTTCGTAAACTTGTATAACATCACCAGGTTGGAAATCTTCCCAGTCTTCAAGTTGAACACCACAATCTCTTCCTTTAGCAATCTCTGAAACCTCATCCTTGTTGTGTTTCAAGGTTGTGATTTTCCCTTTATAAACTTCTTCGTCATCCCTCATGACTCTAATACTTCCCGATCTCACCAAAGAACCAGATCTGACTTTACAACCTGCAATCTTGAACGACTTCTTCTTTTTACCTTTGATTTCGAAAATTTCTCTAACATCAGTTTCTGAGATGACATTTAATTCAATGATTGGTTTCAATTCTTTAGAGAGGAGTTTGGTAACATCTTCAATTAAATGGTAAATAACATTATGTGGTCTGATATCAACTTCTTTTTGGTATGCCTTGTTGTCAATATCTTTTGGAAGCTTCAAGTTAAACAATAAGATAGAAGCACCAGCTATTTGTGCTCTTTCTAAATCAGTATCAGTTGGTGCACCAACACCAGAGTACAAGACAGTGCATTTCACTTCATCATTGCCTAAATGTTCAATACTTTCAACAATGGCTTCTGCTGAACCACTGACATCAGCTTTAATGATAAATCTAACCTCTTTAGCCTTTTCGGCTTCGATTGTTTCTTCAGTTTCAATATCAGATTCTTCCAAACCATATTTTCTCATTTCCTCCAATTTTTCTTGTTTTTCAGCTTCCTTCTTTAAATCTAATCTTGTTTGGTTAATAACATCAACATTTTGCGCAGTCTTCTGTCTGGCAACACGGTTTAATCTATTTTCAACAACCCTTTTAGCCTGTGCTTCATCTTTTGCTTGCAAAACTTCATCACCAGCTTCTGGAACTTCTTTCCAACCCCATAATTCCACTGGAGAGGAAGGACCAGCTGTCTTGATAGTTTTACCACCTTCATCTTTAATCGATCTAACTTTACAGTATGTTGTACCTGCGACAAGAATTGAACCAGGTTTCAAAGTACCTTGGCGGATCAAAACAGTTGCAAGTGGACCCATACCTTTCTTGACTTCAGATTCAACAACCCAACCTTCAACAGGAACATTAACTGCTTGAGCTTTCAAGTCCAAAATCTCACTTAAAGTAACAATACTCTCTTCTAACTTTTCCATATTTAACCCAGTGAGACCAGAAACTTGGACAGTTTGTGTATCACCACCATAATCTTCAACATCAATATCATTTGCTGCTAAATCGGAAATGACCTTTTGTGGATTAGCATTTTCCTTATCACATTTATTAATTGCCACGATGACTGAAACACCTGATTTCTTGATATGTTTAATAGCTTCTTTAGTTTGCGGCATAACTGAATCATCAGCAGCAACAACCAAGACGACAATATCTGTGACATTTGCACCTCTTTCTCTCATTTTCAAAAACGCAGCATGTCCTGGTGTATCTAGAAAAGTAATCACCTTTTTAGAAATAGGTGTCTTCACAGAGAATGCACCAATATGTTGGGTAATACCACCATGCTCCTGACTAAAGATAGAACTTTTACGTAGATAATCCAAAATTGTTGTCTTACCGTGATCAACATGTCCCATAATGGCAACAATTGGTGGTCTTGGTTTTAAAAGCTTTGAGTCTTCAGCTGGCGGTGAAGCCACCAAATCTTCTCCTTGACTTTCTGCATTGAAATTCACATCAAATCCATATTCATCAGCAATGAGACCCGCTGTTTCTGAATCTAAAATATAATTATGGTTCATATCTTCGAATCCCATCTCTTCTAACCTTTTTGAAAGATTTTCATATCTCACATTCATCAAATTTGCAAGCTGAGAAACGGTGGCAAAATCAGGAATGGTTATTTTGATTCTTTGTCTGCCTTTAAAGTTCTTGCTCTTAGGTTTTTTGGCAAATAATGAGGATGTTGTACTTAATGCTCTTGTGGAATCATTGTTGAGTTGGAACCGACATTTTATAGTATCTTTCGATACTGTATTCACACTAGGCAAATTTCTTCCTATAGGTACCGAATATTTAAAGGCACATCTTACAGAACTTTTTACAAGCTTCAACATATTCTTCTGTGAGTGTGAATTTTGATGTGTTTTAAAATCTGGAAATATCATACATGTACACTATCTTGAGATTTTTTTCCACTGTGTAAAAGAAAAATAATCGGTATTAGCACTACTGCTTTGAATTACATAATCTTCATAAATGAAAGCTTTCTTTTGAAATTAATATACAAATGGTCTTGAATATGATGCTGAAAGCTTCACCTATCTTTTAAATGCAATGTCATCATTAAGTTTGTCAATTAGGTCGTCAATATCTCTGAAATTGGAATTCTCCGTAGCAAATGATCTGTGTTTTCCGCTTTCAATGTGTTCATCAAAATCATCAAAATGTATTCTGCAGTTTTCACAATAACCAGCAACTTTTGGTTTATTCTTTGAAGCTTGTGTTTTTGAAAGTTTCTGCTTTCTAACAATCAATTTCTTAGTTAAGGAATTGACTTGTTTTGAAGCAACTGAGGAACCAATTGGTGCCAAACCATTTTTAGTTTGCACTTCTGTGGATTGTTGAGAAACATTTGTTGATCCATTAAATCCTGACGCCTGTATTTCAAAATTATCCCTTTTGGTAGCTTCCATGAATTTATTGGAAATCAATGATGGTTGCCTTGATAAAACAAGACTATTTTCTGGAAGAGGTGGAGGCATATTCAATGTGCTTTCGCGCTCACATAATGTAGAATCACTTTCAACATCTGAATCATCAGAGAATGGATTAGACTCAATTAATTGGGGATCAAAGTCATTATAAACCACACGAAGCTTATCTCTATATCTCTTGTTTTGCTCGTCTCTCAATCTCCGACGCTCCGTTTTTCTAGGTAAATGTATATCAGCTGGATCAGCTAGAAATGGTGATCTACCATAGGTGGATGTGAAGACATGAGGCCAAGGTGTTTTGCTAGAACTTGTATCTTTAACTTTCCATTCTCTAACAGCAACTGGTCTAGTTACCTGACGTAAATCATAAACGTAAAAAAAAGGGTGTTTGAAATAGTTGAAATCTTCTCTTTTGGCGTTTGGATCACGATCATTTGGACCATGTAGTTTCTCATCATGTAATAGAGATGATAAATGTCTGGCATTCTTCTGAGCAGTCTGGACCGGTGACGTTATTTCACCTAGATTCTTTAAAAACCTGAAAACTTTCTCATAATTCCAAAACTTCAAAGGATGTGGAGATTGAAGCATATTTCTAGGAAGGTCAGTTCTACTGCGTCTTGAAACAACAATTGTTACTCTATTATCAAAAAATTGCTGAATTGTGGCACCGACCTGTGTAAAAAGCTTGATGGCTTTTTCCTTCTCTTTCTTCTTGATTGACGAGAACTCACCTGTTGAAATATCATTACTATCAAAGTAAATGACCGACTCTCTCATTATACGTCTCCAACTCCTCTGCCAGTCTGAAAGATCATTCGCAGCTATTTCTTGACGCAGTTCATGCTTTGTGGATTGTGCACCGTTGTTGCTTAGCTTTTGTCTTTTGACGGTTGGTGAATTGGTCCCAATATCCCTCAAGGGTTGTCTATGAGCTTCCATGATGATATATTAGTGAATTAAATGCAGCGGTTAGGTTGGTTGGATAGGTTGAGTGAATGAAAACAAATGCTGTGTGGATGAAATTAGATGGGAACTACCGTGTAAAAACACAGGTTGATGACGGGGACGCAATACTGAGCTGTTCAGACTCCAGTTCTGTTTGTTCAGGTTGGTAATGTTATGGTTTGTTGACCGTTTATGGGATCCTTTACTGGTTATTTCACCTTGAAGTCTTGTGGTTCTATAAAAAATTTTGGTTTTCTGTTTTGAAGGTAAACAAACCCAAATCGGGCCAACCGTGAAGAAATTTTTGGTTTGCGCGACGGAAGGGCAACTGTCGCGTAGTGGGCTCGTGGCCCCAGTAACCAACGCGTTCCTCCTTCTAAAGCGCGACGCTAGACGGGAATCGCTAGGCAGAGGCTGCCTAGAGGCTAGAGCCTAGTACCTACCAGTGACTCGTGAGCACCATCCAAGCTTACAAGATTCAAGTACAAATATCTTTACATTACTCTTATTAAATACAGGTCATGAATTATAATACAACCAAAAACAGAAATCAATCATAATAGTGACCATTGGCAATGAATCTGATCATATACTCATCAATATGACCAAAACTTTCATCGTCAAATTCATCATCATCCACAACGCCAGCTTTATTTACGCCAGGTGTGGCACTTGTAGAGTTCACTTGGGTTGACTTATCTTCATTAAAGTCCTCGTTATCCAAATCAACTTCTTTCATTGCTTCTTTAGCAGCCTGTGCATCAGCATCATCTTCAGCCTGAGCTAAAACATTACCAATTTTTGTAGAGTCACCAAATAGTGGTTTAGTATCCAAAATGCTTGAATCACCAACTTCGTCACCAATTAAATCCTTGACCGATAATTTACCAAAATAATCAGTAGTAAATTCACCTTCTTGTATAACAACATTATCCAAATGTCTTTTCTGATTTGCCTTCTTCAAAATGTTAGATTCAATGGTATATTCACTGACAAATCTATAAATATGAACGTCTCTTGTTTGACCAATACGATGGCAACGATCTTGACATTGTTTATCCATTGCAGGATTCCAATCAGAGTCATAGAAAATAACAGTATCAGCACCAGTCAAATTAATACCTAACCCACCAGATCTTGTTGATAAAATGAACACCGTAATTCTTGGATCTGAATTAAATCTCTCAGTTAAGATTTGACGATCTTCAATCTTTGTAGCACCATCCAATCTCATATATCTGATACCCATAATGTTCAAAAATTGTTCCAAAACGTCCAAGACTTTGGTCATTTGGGTGAAGATCAAAGCTCGATGTCCACCATCTTTCAACTGTTGAAGCAATTTGGCCAGTTTTTGTAATTTACCACAATCATATAACAATAAACTCTTATCAGGAAATTGTATTGAAAGCTTAGTTTGTAACTTATGGAATGGATTAGCAATTTGACAATCATTAGAAGTTAATTCTTGCTCCAATTCTTTAGTGACCGTTAAGTGTTTCATATTCATGGTGACAACTGCAGGTGTAACAAATGCAAATCTATCAATATCATCCTTCATTGACAGTATTCTTGTTTCTAAGGGCTTGATGAACTCTTCCTTTGGCGAAAAATCAAGCTCAACTGGTTTGAAAACATTCAACATTTTGATAAAATTATAACCGTATTCAGGAATCTTATCAGTTCTTAAATTATTAAGGTATAATGCTTGCTTTAAATTTTCCAATAGTTCTAATCTTTCATGGTACTTTGAGTATTGATAAAAATTTTGGATATTGGAAAAGTTTGGATCAACTGAAGCTGAAAGGGCTTCCTCTAAAGTTGTGATTTGATCAACCAATGTCTTCTCGAGTCTTAATCTCTTGATCGTGGATCCTTGATGGCTCGTTAGTTGATATTCAATTGCCGTGAAAACCAGATTTAAGACTGACAAGTCAACTTTTTCATAATGGTCATTGGCATGAAACAGTTTTTCAACAATCTGATTAGTGGTTTCATAATAAGTTGGGATGGCAACTGGAACAGCAAACGAAGTTGTAATTGGTCTTTCTTCAAATAAATCAGGATGGTTACAAACTTTTCTCAACTGCATCAAGGCATTAATAATTGAAATATAGTTTGCATTTTTCAAAGTCTCTTTAGTATCACTTCTTGCCAAGTATTCATGATACAACTTGTACTGTCTTTTGGAGAGACGACAATAAACAACATGTTCGTACTTAGCAGGCATTTGAGCTTCAACATCAGCTTTCAAACGTCTCAATAAATACGGTCTCAACACTTGATGTAATTTATGAACAGTCTTTCTAGTTTCCTCATCAACTTCTGAATTATCACCACCTTCAATAATCTTATCAACTGGTTTACCAAACCATTGTTGGAAATCATCCAAGTTAGCAAAACCTGATGGCATTGCTTGATTCATCTTGGTGGAAGGCATCAAGAAATATAACAAAGACCACAATTCCATGATATTGTTTTGCAATGGAGTACCAGTTAGCAATAATCTGTTTTCAGTGTTGAAATTCAATAATGCATTCCAACGGTTAGATTTGAAATTCTTGATATTATGAGCTTCATCTAAAATCATGTATCTCCAACGTTTTCTTCTGAATATTTGTTGATCTTGACACACTAATTGGTATGAAGTAATGCAAACATGGAAAGTATCAGGTTTATTCCAACCTTTTCTTTTTTCCTTTCTTTGTTGTGGACTACCATAATAAACCATAACTTTGAAACCAGGAGCAAACCTTTTGAATTCCATTTCCCAATTCAAAATAACAGAAGTTGGCACAATAATCAAATGTGGACCCCAAATACCTTTATTCACTGCAAGATAACAAATTAAACTAATAGTTTGAATAGTCTTACCAAGACCCATTTCATCAGCCAAGATACCATTTGTATGATTGTTGTATAAACTAGCCAACCAATTCAAACCTTGTTTTTGATAAGTTCTCAAGTCACCCCTCAATAATAAATCAGGATTAGGAACATCAACTACACCATCACTAGGCTCATGTGATGCGCTTCTTGATTTCTTGGAATCATCTTGGATTGTTGAATCAACCTCTGAATTTTCAATAGCATCAGGGGTAGGGCTTGATATTGGGACTTGTTTCTTCTCATCATCATCCTCTGCCAACCCTGATTCGTTCTCAGATTCTTCATCTGATTTATAGGATGTAACCGATTCATCATCACTTTCTTCATGTGTAACTTTACCAAACAACGCGGCCAATCCACTAGGTTTTGAGTCTTCTTCCTCTCCTGACTCATCTTCTGATTCCTCTTCTTCACTGGATTCAGATTCAAGAGAATCGTCACTGTCTAACAACGAGTCCTCATCCTCGTTAGCAAGTTTAACTGCTTCTTTCTCCTTCTCAGTTAATTCTGGAACTTCGATTGGAGACTCTTCTTCTTCCTCTTCTTCTTGTTCTCCTTCTTCTTCCTCCTCTTCTTCTTGTTCTCCTTCTTCTTCCTCCTCTTCGTCAATTTCTAGATCTTGCAAATGTGCATATTTGGCTCTTAGTTCTTCAACTGTCAAATTAGCATCATCTTCATCATTGGCAGCACCATTGAGGTTCCCATCATTAAGTCCATCACTACTAATCATATCAATATCTTTATTTTCGTCATCACTGTCATTATCTTCGTTATCACTCTGTTTAGTCATTTGTGCCTCAAGTAATTGTGTAGAATGCTCCAACATCTGACTTAAATGTTCTTTACCTTTGATACGTCTCAATTCTTCAGCTTCTTGATTTTTCAAAATTCTGTAAGCTCTTTCAGCCAACATCCATCTTTTTTTAACAACCTGGACAGCATTTCTAGCTAGTGTCTTAATACGTCTTTCCTCTTCTTTTCTGGCACGATCAGCAGCTCCAGCAGCTCTTTTAAAATGAACCTCAATCATATTGGCGACTTTTCGTGCTCTTTGAATTCTTGCTTTTCTTGAATTTTCGAATAACTTTGACATATGAACAGCTTGTGCAACTAAATGATCATGATGTGTATGTTGGTTCAATAATGGATTTCTAAACGGGAATGGTGGGGGAACTTTTGAAAAAGAAAAATCATCATCAATTTTCAAAACATTATTACCAACAGCTTTCTTAATCTTGGAAAGTAATTGTTGTTGATCTTGAATGTGTTCTTCATACTCTTGATTTGTCACATCTTCATCTAGTGATTTGTACGAGTTCAAGTATTCTTCCAAAGATTCGAATGCAGGTTTGGCAATATGATCAGGGTTTGTTATTGTAGCTTTTGGTAATGATAGCTTGACTTTGATTTTCGGTATTGGACCATCTGTGATGTACGGTTCTGGGGACCCGACATCAAACTCTGAATCGGTTGAATCACTAAGATTATTCAAATCATCTTCATCGATGACCTCTTCACTATCATTATCATCTTCCTGTTCTTGCTTTATCTTTTTTCTATAAGCTCTTTTTGGTTGAGGTGTATTGTTATGAACTCTTGGTTTTCTTCCTCGACGTGCTGGTGTTTGAACTTCTTCTTCTTTAACTTTTGAACGTTCTGATGAAGAAACAGGTTGTATTATCATTGGTCTTTTCATTGAAGATTTGACGCCGTTATGCTTTGCTATTATAAAATGATCTTGATAATACTTTACTGGATTGAATATCTCTTCAGCAAATGTTGTAGCGGCTTCGTCAACTCTTGATTTCAGTGAATCCTCCTGGTTTACTCTAGAGCTATGTCTTGATCTTCTTGATGAACGATGGTTAGAATCACCACCATTGGGCACTTTTTTGCCTTCATCACTCCATAAATTATAATTTTCTTCAACAAAATCTTGGTAATACTTTGGTGGAGGAGCTGTGGGATCCCATGATGCTAATGATGTAAATTGCTGTAGATGAAAGAGTTCTTGAGTCAAAAGTGAGTGTTTTGCAGCTAATTTCCCTAGTTTATCAACTTGAGATAGATTGGATTCTTCAGAACGGTGCCTTTCCAATTTTTTTGTATCTTCAATAAGCGTAGCATCCTTTGTTTTCTTCACTATTATCTCTTCTTCGGGCTGATTTTCAGCTTTGATATGAGATTTGCCGTTCGATCTAGCATTCCTTTTGGTTAACGAGTAATTGATCTCACTATTCCTTGTGCTTCTCCTTCTCTTTGGATCCGGAGATTCTTCAGATTCATTATGTGCTTCTTCATTATCATTGATTTCAGTGGAGCTATCAACAAGCTCACTGTGTCGACGACTTTTGGCATTAGTGCGTCTTGAGCCAGGAGTTGATACTCTTGACATATTCGGTCTTCAACGCACTTCCGTGATAGGCTTTTTATCTGGCCAGTCTTTCAAGAAATGAAGGTATTGTTGATGAAACTGGTTTTGTTGTTGTTATGGTACAATTTAATCCCGAATTCAGGACTCCAACAACTTGAATAAAGCAGCAGGTTTTTTGGTGGATCAATCTCCCAGGTATATATACAAGAAAATGGCGCCTGCACTAATCACAATGGAAGGTAGTTATAGTGGTCAATTGATAAGTTTTGAACTGAGTTTGAACTTGAGCTTCTTGGGCGCTGAATGTCCTTTTGGTAAAAGTCGCGAAAAAAAAAGATCAAGGAATTTTCGATTTCGAAGGC